TCGTTATTAAAACTATTTAAAAAGGTTAGTCACTGACATTTTTATTAGGAAGAGTTAAAGCTTCAAGGACATATTTTTTTATTTTTTATATTTATAAGAACAAATTGTAGATGCTCTAGAAAAGGGGGAAAAAAAGAAGAAGTAGGGAACGGGGGATGGAACGGAAAGGATAAAACAGACACGGACGCTCACGGAAAAGCGGCCGGAAGGAAGACGAGAGGAAAAAAAAAAAGGATTCGTACGCTCCGTGGAGAAAGAAGACGGAAGGGAAAATAATAGATACGGTGTTCGGACGCACAACGGAAACCGAAAAGAACGGACGCGGTTACAATATGGAATTCGGGGAGCCTTGTTTGGGATATAGATATAGGCCATGTTTGGATAGCTTAGCTAAATATTAGCCCATCTAGTGAAATGGAATAAAGATGAGCTAATTATAGCCTAATAAGGGCTAATGGATTCTAACCACCAATTAACCCTCATTAGCTCTTATTAGCCCGGAATATCCAAAAATATGGGCTAATTAATTATTAGCTCCTCGATCAAAACACCCCATAAATATAGATATAGGAGAGATATAAAAGTAAGAAAAGATTTTGATTAATTTTTACTTGTATTTTTTTTCTTTTTGTGTTAGGATTACTATTTAGCTTACTCAGGATTGAAGAGAACTATTTGGGTTAGGAATCTTAACTATCTAGATTACCTTAAGAACCTATGTCCGATATATGTCACATAAAAACAGAAGAGTTGTAAAGAAACGAACAAAAATAGTTTCCATATTCATGGAGTTAGTCAGGGGAGGTGGACCCAAAAAATAGGCTGCAATTTTTGCTCTTTAATATTATATATATACTGGCAAACATGCCCGTGCATTACAATAGAAACCGAGACGTCTTGGAATCGCACTTCATACTATTGTGGTATGTAAGTTGTTCTAACTGTTATGAGCATAGATCATAAGTCGGGGTCACATATGGAACACATAAGGTGTAAGAGCAGGAAGGGTTATCATATCGGATTTGGATTTGGTTTAATTTATTGACATGTGGATGATGACTCGAACCTCGAGGTAAGTTTCCAGAAGCGACGAAAAAAGAAATTCTTCACCTTTAATATTGGATAGATATAGGTATAGAAATAAGATTGGATGACAAACTGCTTAAGGATTCAGTTATGGCTTCTTTTTTTAGAGAAGAGAGTCAAAAAAGATCTAAAATACTATTTTTTCTGTTTATAAGAAACAAATAGAAGAAAAAAAGGGAAAAACAAAAAGTCATGAAATCATTGGTATATAGACATAAATTAAATTAAAAGATGAAACATTTTATGTTTCAATCATGGATTATTGTTTTTATTTAAAAAAATTGGAGACAAAAAAAAAGAAGAAAAACAAAATGTCACGGAACTATAGATATATTGATATAGATTAGATTTGATCACAAATTATTTAAGGTTTCAGTCATGAATTATTTTATTACATTAGAGAAGGATAAAGAATTTAAAAACCCATAATATATTTGTTATGTTTGTTTATAAAATATATGGGAGAAAAAAGTGAAAGGAAAGTCACGTACAGAACTGAACGGGGAGGAGGAAACGGGAAAAAACGAAAAAAATAGGAAAAGAAAACGTTGACGGCAACGTTGTTTTCCAACAGCGGTGGTTCGTGGAGGAAAACGGATACGGTTTTTCAGAGCTGATGACTGACACCGAACCAATTTAGTATTAAGCTGGACGAAAAATTATCAGTGGCACAAATTATATCTCTTTATTATTACACTAGCAAATACGCCCGTGCGTTGCAACGGAAATAAAAACATATCGGAATTGGACTCCATATAATAGTTAGATGTGAGTTGTTCTAACCCATATAAGCACGGCTCATGAGTCCGGCTCTACGGGTCACATACAAGATACAGAGAGCGCGACCCAATACGTTTTGAAATTGGTCTGCTTATGGTTCATCGCTAGACATGAGTTTTAACTCGTATAAATATGAGCCATATGAGTCCGGATCACATATGTGGCATGGAATGTGTAAGTGCGGCTTTGGAAGTAAAAATACATGATGGAAGAAACTCTCCACTGTTTGTTAGCTAGGGGGTAGACAGAAAGTTGGTATGACATTTTGGCTTCTAATATTATGTACAGATAGGCTAGCAAACATGCTGGTAGTTTTGCAGCAAAAAAAAAAGAATCCTTGCATGGCTAGCCCAATAAACAAACTCAGTGTTGCAAAATGGGCCTATGGTCTAGTGGTAGGGTTGTCCAGTGGGATGCTAACCATCAGAGTTCAAACCCTGGTATCGCACCTTTTTCTAGATTTTTTCTAGAATTTTAAGGGTACACGCACGCGTTTTTCGCGCACTGAAGGTTAGAGAGCCTCCCAATCTCTTCTTTTGCGTGTGTACGAACGCGTGAAAGATCCTAATTGGCTAGAGGGGGGGTGAATAGCCTAATTTAAAACTTCTACAAACACGCTAGACAAAGTGGTTAGTATAAAAGATGGCGAAGCCAATTTAGCCTAGCTCTACAAAAGTAACTATGCAAGCCACCTACCAAGAGTTCTATCTATAATCTCTATCACACTCAATGCTATGTCACTATGTCTATACTAGGTGAGCTAGCAAACTAAGCAAGAAGATCTAACTAGTAACTTCACAAGCAAGCTAACAACAAGAGCAAAAACAACAAGTAACTAGAGCAACAAATGCAAGAATGTTAAGGATGTTATACCACCGGTGTAGAGATAACAATAGATGATATCCAATGAAGTCCGAGAGCCAACCAATCAAATCACCGAAGGAACCAATCACCACGGGAGACAAAAGACACAAGATTTTTATCCCGAGGTTCACATGCTTGCCGGCACGCTAGTCTCCGTTGTGTCAACAGGTTCACTTGATAGTTCGGTGGCTAATAGGTATCACACACCTAGCCCACACTTGGGCGCCACAAGAACTCACAAACAAGTGAGGGTACTTAATGACACAAGCAATCAAATAGTGCTACCTTGCGGCACTCCGCCGGGGAAGGTGCAAGCCCCTCACAAGTTGCCGGAGCCGGCCATGAACAAGCACCACTCGTGCCAAAGCTCCTCCGTTGCTCCAAGCCGTCATGGTGGTGGCAACCACCAAGAGTAACAAGAGAACCCTGCAGCGAGCATGATTACAAAGTGCCTCTAGATGCAATCTCTCAATGCAAGCACTTTTGATCTCTCCTAATCTCACAAAGATGTCAAGACAATGATGGATATGAGTGGGAGATGGTTGGCTAGGCTCACAATATGTTATCACCAGTAAAAATGGGCAAGAGACCTTCCCCAAGCCGGCCAACACCTATTTATGAGAGCCCTAATGGCTCAAAGAACCGTTGGGAAAAACCCCACTACAAGGGCTCCGGACCGGACCTCCGGACCGAGCATCGGACCAATCCTCCTGGATCCGGACCCCCGCTGCAACCAATCACCGAGCGCCAGCTGTCCCATTCAAACGCGATCGACCGTTGCCACGCGCAACGGCTCCTTCCCGCGCTCCAGACTGAGCTCCGGACCGAGGCACAGTTCCCCATCTAGACCAATCGTCGCCTTAGTCTGGACACATCGAGAAAGGTTCCAGAACGCCAAATCACTCCGGACAACAGTCCGGTTCAGCCGTCCGGACCAACCTCGCCAGGGTCCGGATCACCTCTGAGCACCACGCGTCCAGGGTGAACAGGGCCCCTAAACCGTACTGGCGACCTTTGGTCCGGAGCTCCTATAGCTCCAGGGTCCGGACCAACCTCCACAGTCCGGATCACCTCCAGCGCCTCCTCTGTGAGCCATGTAGCCTAGGGTTAGGTTCCGGACCCTCGCACCATGGTCCGGACCACCTTGGCCGCAGGGTCCGGAGCTCCATTTGAGCTCCAAACCACTTCAAACTTCATCACCCTTTCTCATGTGCCAACACCACCAAGTGTATCACCTTGTGCTTGTGTGTTAGCATGATTTTCACATCATTTCATAGGGAGTTTAGTTAGCACTCACTAGATTTATATGCATGCATGAGCTAAAGCATCTAGTGGCACTTGATAACCGCATTTGCATCGAGTTTCACTCCTCTTCATAGTACGACTATCTATCCTAAATGCACTCACACCCTCTATGGTGTCTTGAGTGCTAAAACAAAAGCCCTATCAAGGTACCTTTGCCTTGATCTCCTTGGGTCTTTTTGTTTTTCTCTTTCTTCATCCAAGTTGGAGCATCACCATCATCAATCCAAGTCCATCATCTACCTCCATGAACTTCTAGTTGCTCCACACCTTGGTTTGGACCACCTTAGCTAATCTACACACTTAGCTCAAAGGTTAGTCCATAGGTGTCATCAATTAACCAAAACCAAACTAAGAGCTTTCAATCTCTCTTTTTTAGTAATTGATGACAACCTTTACGAAGATAGATATTCAATAAAGATTTGAATCTGAGTTGCTTGCCCAAGCATGATATTCATGTATAAGATTTGGAAAATCACCATAAATTTGATTTTGGTAGCATTAGCTCCCCCTACATAGTCAGATCATCATAAAATCTGATGGAACACATGCTCTTTCCTTTTTCCCTGATTAATCTCGCAATTGGATTGCTGACACGATGGACACGATATTGGTTTGGCAAACATGATACTCTCTCCGTTCCAAATTATAAGTCATTCGAGAGTCAAAGCATCTTAACTTTGACCAAAATTATAGAGAGATTTATAAAGGTTTATGACATCAAATAGGTATACTATAAAAATATAATTAACGAAGTATCTAATGATACTTATTTAGTATCATAAATATTATTTTATTATATAAATTTGATCAAATTTGAGATGCTTTGACTCTCTAAAAATTTTGAAACGACTTATAATTTAGGATGGAGGGAGTAATATTTATGTATTGTAATTGGATTGCATCTAACTCATAAAGTCGGTTTCTTCCTTGCAGACGCCAAGGGATATTGGCGAATTTCACCGGCAATGACTACGGGGTCATGGTGTGATATCCGTGTGGGGGGGGCTGATGACGATGACAAATCAAATCTCGTTGATGTATTGTACAACGGCATAATAAACGGCTGGTTGGAAGAAACTAAAGGGGTTGATGACAAATCAGATCATGTAGATATGTTGTACAAGGGCACAAGAAACAAGAAGATAAAAATTGAGCGGCATAGTATCTGGGTCGATGTACCTGACCCATTCAATTTGAAGGTCTTTGCTCAGCGCTTATTTCTGAATTTTCATTCAGATAACATTCGAGCCAAGGAAATCACTGAGGTTGGTACGAAGGGAGAGGCAGGCTTTTGAGTGGTGTCGCTAGTTTTTGTCTGAAGAAGAGGACTGCCACTACATCGTGGTTATTAACGGTCTGCAGTCGACGGGTGACTGGGACTCGATACAATCGACCTTCTTCTCATCCAAGGCTACTACGGCTAAAGCAGGTTGTATCCTTGTCATCACAAAAGAAGAAACTGTGGCCACACACTGTGTGAAGGGTCAGACACATCTAGCGTTCAACGCTCAAGACTTGAAGGCGGACCCATCCATTTCTTCCTTGATAAAAAAGGTAATAACAACAGTTGTATATTATAGCGTTCCCCATATGCATGAGCCTTCGATCATCATATATAACTATAACAACGATATATGAAATTTGTATTTTCTTTACCTGCAGGGTTGTTGGCACTATGGAATTAGAGGCAGAAAGGGTCGCTTGTTCTATGACAGAAGGAAATATGCACGAGAATGGGCCAACAAATTTGAAGATGTTGGCACCATTAATCTAGATGGAGAAGATGAGGAGAAGGGATTTCGTGAATTCACGGTGACAGGGTATGGGGATGATGATTCTACAAAAGGTGTCGTTAGGCATGCGTACTATGGTGTATTATTTGAACACCACTATGGTGCATTATTTCAACAACGAATTGAACGCCGCAGCTGAAGCTGGGCGGACGGGACATGCCATACAATCGGGGTTATCATTTCGATTTGACGGACTTCGCCTGCCGCTTACTTGTGGATTTTTATTCGGATGATCCTCAAGCCAAGGAAGCCGTAGCAGTCCGTCTGATGGAAGTCACTCTTGATGACCCGATTAAGGAGTGCCGCGAGATTCTTCGTAACGAAGAACGCTTGGTTGTCATCAATGGTCTGGACTCCAAAGAAGACTGGGATTCCATCAAGGGCACCTTCTTTTCTGAGCAGCATCCTCAAAGCATTATCCTTGTTGGGTCTCGTAGTGGTGTGATGCTCAGTAATAAGGAGATGCGGCTGGGTACCCAAGAACAATGTCGTCTTATAGACATGGTTAGTTAGTTATCTTGGACCCATTTCATCAGCTTAACTCATTCATTCATAAAGAATATTATTATTGCTTGGTCATCACGTAGTATTTGTTTGCTTCCTTGCTGCATGCATTGGTGTTTAATAATTACTACGTCCGTTCAAGAAAGAATACAATTCTAGCACAGTGTTATGTTTTATTACCTTAACTTTGACCAATTATAGTTTAAAAATTATTAATATTTATGATACCCTAAACCGTCTCTACAAATCATGTATTTGTAGGGGTGGTTCCGACCACCCCTACAAATTGATTTGTAGAGGTGACTGGTGTTATCAGCCGCCTCTACAAATTGAATTGTAGGGGCGGTACAAAATCAATTTGTAGGGGCGCCTGTAGTACCAGCCGCCCCTATAATACCTGTTTGTATACATTTTTTCGTAAAAAAATTTAAATTCGACAAGAACATATATATATATATATATATAAAATTCAAATATGACCAGAACATATATAATTCAAATCTGATCTTAAGCACAAGAGCATTATATAAACTACCATTACAAGTCCAATTTACATAGAACCTGAATGCCTTATTCGAATTATTTTAGCAAATATAACTTGTCAGTATCCAAAAGTGAACGTTACAAGTATGTATACAAACATATAAGCTAATAGTATCATGTATCTATTATTTTATTTCTGGCTATTCAATTAACTTAGAAGTGATGCATACAAATAAAGATAGGAAGCAGTACCTAAACTTGCAATGCCTGATGGGCCGAACATCAAGATGCATATTACCTAAATTGTCATAACAAAGATATATATGGAGGATTAATTAAATTGGGATAACAAAAATAGAATTAAAAACCAAAACTAAAGAAGATTGCATACCTTGAACGGGACATGAAATATAAGCAGCTGCTTGTGAATTTTCTTTGTTGCTATCAGGAACATATATTATGGATATATATAAGCATGCAACTCATATCTCAACTAAGTATCTGTCAATTTAAAATGTACATAGCATCGGCCTAATGCTAGATTTGCAATAAGCAGAAACATGTTAAAAGAACAAACAAGAGACAATTCTTGTTATTATAACCATTGTATAGGTTTATTTGGTCTAGAACAAAAATCACTGAACTGTGTATATCATATATTCCTCCCTGACCTGGTTGCCAGCACATGCGACACAAATGCAGATCCTGTATGGAATGGATTGGCAAAATTTAGTATAGAGAAGAGAGAGCCCTTCATTATTTTCTTCTAATGTATGAACAGGCAGTTACTTCATAATGTCAGACAAGACAACAGATTCACATGTAACCTTAAATTTCCAAACAAATAAGCAGTGATAGATTAAAGAAGCATTTTGATTGATCTGTCAGACAAGATAATGAAAGTCCCTCATAACCAGCATGTGCTCATAACCAGCAAATAACTATCAAAGCAGCAACTTGTGTTTCATCTAGTTTATTAAGTACTGACACTAAATATATGTAAAAATGCATGCAGGACAACAAATCATTATATATTTAATATTTCGCTACTACATCATTCAGTGAAGCACCACTAAATCATTATGAGTATATTGCAGGACATCTATTAAGCACAGATGGGCATAACTGCACGGATTGAGTAAATCATGAAATAATACATCATGTTTTACACTTGATTAGCGGATTAAAGTACATCACCTTAACCTTACAATTCAAGGTGATCCAGTCCAGCATATGAATTCTTTAATTTCATCCAGTAATATAGCATCCACTTAAAATGATCAGTTGGATCAAACTAAATTAAAAAAAACTTCATTTCTCCTAAAAAGGAATATCAGATCAATCCTTAGTATACTTAGTGAAAGAAATTAGTAGAAGATCTAAGCACAAAACAGAAACATGTGCTTTGGTGAATATCAAATCAATCCACATCCTGCAGGAAGACCAACTCATACAAGCATACACTTGGGTTTAGATCTACAGATAGCCAAACAACTTAAATTAGGGTTCCAGTGCTAAGTTTTACACAAAGGAAGGGAAGAGAAGGGATAGCCATACCTAGTGTTGTGGATGCTCATCGCTACAGATTCGGACGCTTGGGTGAAGGAAGAGGACGGGAGGAGAAGGGGGCTATGGAAGAGGAGGTAGAAGCCCCAATGGCCCAACCAGCCAGCTCCTGCACCCCGGCCATGCCCGGACGCCCTCCACGCAGCTCAGGCCACCAATCAGACAGATCCAGCCGCTAGGACCTCAGATCTGGTCGCCACCGTGCGGATCGAGCCACCACCGCACTTGCAGGACCGCAGTCCGGTCGTCACCGCACAGAAACAGCCGCCCAGAGGGGAGGTGAGCCCGGACCAGCCACCACCGGATCTGGGCACCGGGTTTTTTTTATTTTTAACACTTTTTGTAAACTAATTTTAAATCTAACACTTTTTTTTTTTCAAAACTAACACTTTTGGCCGCGCCTATTGCCATGGCGCGGCGAAACGCCTGTGTCGCGCCATGCATGGTGGCGCGGCGGGAGGATGACATGGCAAAGATCGGGGCGCTGAGCGGTGACGTGGTCGGGGTCTGCCACGCCACCGACCGACCTTGGCGTGGCAGTGATGCGCCCTGACCGGTGGTGCGGCAGAGCCGGCTAAAAGGCACGTGGCCCAGTCCCGCCTGCCTGCCGCGCCCGCCGCGTCCACGACCCTGCCCGCCTCGCCTGCCCGTCGCCTCGCCTGCCCGCCGCTTGGAGAAGACTATTTTTAACTTTTATTAAGTTGTTACCAAAATATTTTGAATAATCAAGATGAAATTAGAGAAGACTATTTCAAAAAAAATGTAGGTGTGAGAGATTTGGTAAGTCTAATCTAGTCTAATGAATTTAGTTTGACAAGTTTTAGTAACAATTAAAATTATAGCTTGTCAAATTTCTCCGTCTCCCATTCTTTCCGTCTCTCCCCGAAGAGGAACAGCCGAACGGGCACAAGGTCATCTTCCTCTTCGCAAAAATCACTGTAAGGTCTCCTTGTCCTTTGGTGTATCCTAGGGGTGACTGCTAGCAATTTCTTCTCTAGGTAGTGTTTGGTTTGGATGGGACAAGGTCGACGCTGCTCGGACGAGCGTGGACGCGTGAGGAAGAAGAGGAGCGCAGCGAAGAACCTGACCGGCGTCGGCGCCACGTCCACTCGCCTGCCCGCCGCGCCGCGCCCTCCTGCCACTCCCAAGTGCTGTCGGCGCCTGGCCCTCCGTTGCTGCCTCCCTCCCTCCCTCCCTTCCCTTCGATTCCCCGATCGCCTCCCTCCCTCCTCGGCCTGCTGTCGGTGCTGTAAACAACTACAAGTGCTGCCGCGACGTATTGAAACGAATATGAAGCAAATAAATGGAGTCCGTGCGCAAGTTGACAAGTTGCCACATAACATTTTCATTGGTTCATGAGTCTGCAAGTTTCGGACGACGATATTTGTTTGACATAAGTTCAACATAACTAATTAAGTCCCAGGAGTGTAAGGATCCTTCGGACGCCTCTGTCTCTTTAGATTTGTAGGCAACACATTGGGAGTGTAGCTAACGTTGGTGTGGTCGTGTTGCTGGTGCGTACGGCTCGTACCCTGCAAGTATATGATATGCACGATTACTTATAATCTTTATTATCGTTAGTTCATAGAGCCTACGTATTTAAAGAGACTACCTTTGTTACTACCTATGAGGCTCCTTAGGTACCCAGCAGGGCACCACCTAGCTGAGACATGCCGATCTCGTCCTGCGGCCAATCGTTCCACTGGTGGTGCTGTCTGCAGAAGCTCAGGGGGTCATCGTCATCGTCATCGTAGTCCTCGTCGTCCTCGTTTGCAGGGTCCTTCCCAGCGCTATGATGTGGTGGTGTACGCACTGCGGAAGTGGCACCTATCACCAGTTGAGAAGAGCCGGCTGGTGTCCTCAAAGAGCCAGAAGACGTGCCACCCGACCACGCCGGGACTACCGGTTCCACCCAAGGAGTGTCCATGCAGCTTAGCTTCTGAGCTAGCTTCCTACAGCTCCGCTTCACCTTCTGTATAAATAGACGTTAAAGTTAGTGCATTTTCCAAACACATATACACTAAAGAAACATTTTCGGAACGGAAAAGTTTATGTTTACCTCCACAAAAGCCTCAAGAACGCCTGGCCCCTGCCCTCTAGACTCATGAAGCCAAAACGCTGCTTCGTTGGATAGCCTTGACAATTGTGTCGACTGGTTACAGAAACACGGTTGGACAGTTTTAGTACACATACTTAATACCAAATGGTTAACAAATTATACCATTCGAGTATCTTACCATGTATCTTTGAAGCGGGGCTCTCTGTAGCTGTGTGTCGTCCCTAGTGGCAACGTCGTACACATCTTCGATCACATCTTCCTCGTCGTCCTCGTCAATCGCCTCCTCAGTGTACGGGGGCTTGATATGTGTCCTCGTAGACCTATGAAGCCACCGCAGGTACTCGTCGAAGGTGTGCTGGTCGTGTGGGGGACCCACATCGATTGGCTGTTGGTCCCTGTTCTGCCACAACTGGATGTACGCGTTGTGTGTCATGGGACAATCCTTGGTCTTGTACCTCTTCCTGCGGTCATACCTGCAACAAAATGATTGTTAGTTGTATGTCAAGAAAGATCCAGCTGATGGTGTTGCCCGAAGCGTCTGGGAAGAGGAAAGCACCAAGAAAGTGCTAGAGCCACACTCTAGCGAATCTATCGATCTGAACCTCATCAGCCTGTGGGTCCAAGTAATCAAAGCGCTCTGTGATCCACGATGACGAAACACCGGAACTTTTTCTAAAATTCACCAAAGAAAATGAGACCCAATGGCTGCAAGAAAGCAATGCAAATATTAAATAGGCTTGAATTGTTCACTTATTTTTCTCCTCATCGTCCGGTGAAAGAAAGCCAGTGAACTGAGCCACCAGCTCCCTCGAGTGATCGTTGTCAACTACACCTGTCACTAGAAGTCCCCCCAACGGAAGGCCAAAGATAGCCTTCACGTCCTGCATGGTCAAGGTCAACT